ATTTCAATTTATATGAAATTATACAGATTTTAGATTTTAAAAATGAATAACTAACATGAAAAATATCTGAAAAATATGGATATGTTTATAATTTGTTTAAAATCTAATTTAGAATTGATTATTTCAATCCACGAAGATAAATAAATAATGTAATAAGTATATAAACGTTATTAATTAACAATATAGAACTAGAGTTCTATGAAGTAATCGGAAAATATATAAAATACAATGTCTGAACAGTATAATTTTTTGTTTTTTTAACATTATCATCTAACAGGAATTTTCAATAAGCCAAACATTTACATATTTGTATTTGATATAAATTATTTTTTATACGCGAATTCTTAAAACATCACATAATATAGAAAGAACAGTTTACTTTATGTCATTTTTTATATTACAAAACTGATTAAAATTATAATGAATGTACTATGTAACATTTCTTTGCTTTTGTACGATTTATGATTTCTATGCAGGTATAGAATAAAAATTATACATATGTGTTTATATACACATACTAAATTTCTCAAACTATGCCTATGATATATCGAGTAACATAAATAACAATTAAAAAATATATATTTCAAAATACTTGTATCGTAATCTTTTACTTGTAAAAAGTAAACAATAAATTATTCATTCCAAATACTAACCAATTCCAAGTACGTGCAATGCTATTCACGATGAACATTTTACACGTTCTCACAAGAAAATGATTTCCATGAACAGCTTTGATTCGCGTGTCGTCGCGACGTCACCTCAGCAGCCTTACCAGCGTAACAATGTGCTGTGACATCTTTCACGACGTAGCACGGCAAGAAGGTGACCGTGAACCGTCCGAAAACGTGGACGGAAATAATGGGAGGTAGAAAATTTTGAAAAAAGCCAATCCGGTGCATGAAACGTATAAAACAAAAGAGAAACGGTGGAGAAGAAACGGAAAATATGGGGTGTCGCGATCAAAAATTGGAAAAAGACGGGGAGAACGTATATCGGTTCGAGTACCGTGTTTAAGGGAAGCATCTATTTGTAAAACATGCCCAAAAATTGTTTACGGCACACACACACTAACAGTATGAGTATCGCGACTGAATCCGATTTTCGTGATTACTCGCGTAATTATTAAAACGAATACACTTTTTGGAACGTTTGCTTACTCTGCGTTTTGCGCGTGCGACCAACTGCGTTAATCCTTCATTCGGTTTCAAGTGGACTCTAACAGATTTTCAATTAGAATCAATTAAATTCAATTAAATTACGTAGCTTTCTTATAAACTCGTTTAGAACATGGAGGTACGATCAGAGACGTTTCGTTGCATCCCCTTTAAGTAGTTGTGGTTCACGAAACAATAATGAAATTAGACTTTCGACGACTAAAATTGTTTGAAAATAAGATTGTTCATGTAAGATGCAATGTACGCATAGAAATTAAGACCTAGTAAAAGGAAAGTGTTACATTGGAGTTTTATTTTATTAACACATTAACAGTCGGTAATGGTGGCAGCGCATAATTCGAAGGGTAAAGAAATTTTTTCATAGTTATTTATGAATTTTAATGTTAAAAGCAATCATTAAGATTATTGATATTCAACAGGGAAAATTATTATAGCTTGGAAATTTTAAGTTTTCAAACTCTCAATATAGTGCCAACCGGTAATATGTTAAATAATTTAAAAAACTTGTAATACAACTATTTGCAGCGTTCTTGCTTTTGATGGGAAGTTTAAAAATTCCCTGCACTAGCTTGCAAATTCAAAATGTGAAAAAGTGGAACTCTCATAAGCAATATTGATGTTAAATTTAAAGTACAATGTAAGTGACTTACTCGATTACAGTAAGCTACAAAAATTAACACATTATGTACTAAATTTGCAACACTTTCATCAATTTTAATTTTTAGTGATAATATTGGTATTAAAATAATCTGTAAAGCGAAGCTTTATGTAGCTACCTACACATTCAGAAAGATCTGGATAGAAAAAGGTTAGATCATAAAAGAATTGAATAGATATTTAAAAATAGTTTCTGAAAAATTGTACACTTCTTATTACTGAAAATTTTGAATTGTCATGGATATTAGTAGGATTTGTAATAAATTACTAATAATTTTACGTAAACTTTCTGAACTTCAATATCTACGCTGTTGTATGTCGATTTGAAATCTTGCAATTGCAAGATAAGTTGATTTCCTCTTCATGAAACTAATTTTACTGTGTATCATTGGAAACTCTGATGACATATCTATGTCGTACAAAACTTTGCAATATATTACTACCTTTTCGATACATCTAATTTGAATGAAGAAAAATTAATATTTGTATCACTATGTATCATTTACTTCCTAATGCCTTTTTAATGTCGATAGCGAAACATTTTTGTATCTGACTGTATGTAAAAGACAATTTGTTTTTGGACATGTCAGGTGGACCTGTTGGTTACATAATTCCATGTTAAGGAAAAAATTGGCACATAGACGTTTAAACGATCGTGTGACGTTCTGCGTGAAGGCTTGCGCTTTGTGTACGTAATAAAATGCACCGCCTCTGTTATTGCATCGGCAGCAAATGGTCAGTGTGTTGCTGAAACGCGTACACAGCTAATTGGTTCGTAACCGAAAGTCCATTCCTTGTCTATTAAACTGTTTTATTGGAGATTGCTATATGAAAACTTGAACAGTACTTATTCATGTTCATAAAAATGAATATTTTCTTTCACATTTAAAATGGGAACATTTAAATTCATGTAAGCGGCTCTATTAATTTCATAAATGTGAATACATTATTCTGAATTGAATGAAAATGTCACACTGTCAATAAAAATAGTATTGAATGCCACAGAGAAGTTAGAAAATTTAATAATGTTTTTTAACAGTTAACCGTCATCTGAATGCTACCGTATCAATCAATTAAGTACTTGAATTCTATGAAATAATTATAGTGAACTGGTATAATTACTATGATTGTTTCAATAGTAAAAACTGTGTTCCTATAAAGCATTATTAACATTTCTATCTTTACATGTTCCACCCTAATGATTATTTAAATATTATCTCACTTTTAACGGTTCTAAGTTTTATTAATTAAACCGTATCTATGTATGCATTAACCTTTTGCACTCGTATGTCATGCTGGGGATGACAATACAAATTTATTATTGAACGTTGGAAATTGTTTTAAAAAGTACCACACTTTAAAAGATTATAGAAATGAAATCTTCTTATAATAATAATAAATAAAATAAATATAAGACGTTGGATTCTATCGCTGTAAATTACTTGAATTCATTTCCCTAAAATTAAATAAAACTTTACACTTAACAACATTGCAAATAAATCGAGTGCAAAGGATTAAACTGTATTTCCAGCATCATGACTTGTAAAACCAGCGTTGAAACATGTTCATTACACTGCTTAATCGCACACCTTATAAAGTCTATTTCAGCTGCAAATCGCCTCCGTAACGCAACAGACCGTCATCGCGTCTAGTAAACAACTGCGGGATGCAACGAAATGGACGAGTCACTTTGAAAGAAAGCGTATTCGCGTTGAAAATGAAGAAAAACCAGTTATTGTATTATCGTACGCTCTATGTACCTATTATCGTGCCCATGTACTCAATGGCGCAAATGTTCAACCACTCCAATAATTCTTACCGGTGGCAAGTTGTTGGTTAATAGTCCAGGTGGCAAGAATCATTCGAGCGTATCATAGGCGTCATTCTCCTTTGCGCGATCGTATTCCTTTTCAAGATCCAAATGAACGGGAAACGCATTGGTTCGGCGCACAATTCGCGTGTCTCGTATAAAAATGAACGAGCTTTCGCAAACGATCCGCTCGATGTGCTCCCCATATTTTCTTTTATCATTCTTTGTTCCTCCAAATGAATACTCGTGCTCACCACCTGACGTGTATGCGTGTCCATTTGTGCGGATGTTTGCTGTGTCATCACGCGTAGCGATGGGCATTCTCCCTCTAGCAAAATTTCTATAACACGTTCAACGAGTTGTGTCGGTAACAGTAAACAAACGGAATGATCTCTTAGATGAGAGTATTTAAGCAGGAGCGAACGTAGTAAAATGGATTAGTTCACTCTTTAGATTCACGACAGTTATTCAGTAAATTTTTCGTTTAATGTTACGGTTTGTCAAATTGATAAGTAGAAAATAATTGACTTTGCGGTATTAGAAATTTCAACGAAATTCGGTATAAAATGGTAAGGCTATGTAGATATCGCCGTAAGTGGAAAAATTGAATGAAAGAGATCCAATAATTATTGAAACTAACTGTTTTTGATCTACACCGACACAACTCGTCGAACGGATCACAATTACTCAAACGTGAGAATCGCTTCGCGTGTCGTTCGAACCGAAAAATATTCAACGTACTAAACAACTTGAAAGAAAACCTGACTGAATACTGGATACATTCGGAAGATCCAAAACGTCAACAGCTCTTGAGGGGCACGAGTGTAACATAATTGCATGCAACGGTTCCGTATCAGGTATCAAACGAACGTTAACGTAACTATACAATATAAGGTAATATAATATTCTATGAATTACTTTGAGCGTGAATAACGAAATACAACGAATCACATTGCTCGAAGTTAAGCGTTGTTATAGATTGCTACTACTACTCGAGAAACCTCGACGGTTCCGAAAACATTCAAGATCCGCGGAAACGGTCGGGACCGTTCGGGAAACTATTCTACCGTTGAATACTACGCGAAGCGATTCGCAAGCACCACCTCACGATCAAAGCGCCTTGAGCCCATTACTACTGACATGATCAACGATACGTACGCGAGTGTATGGCAATGTGTGTATCCGTGTGTAAATGTGCGCGCACGCGACTGTCTCTCCGTATATGTGTCTGCGTGTATGTGTATTTGTATGGAATCGTACACAATATCAATTAACGTGCACAAGAACAATACTGCCACGAGATTGCGTGCAGGGCGGGTTCGTGCAGAGCCGCACGGAGCATTAACAGTGTGACAGACCTGGCTTTAACAGACACAACTTTAGCCCCAACGGACACGTTCTCTTTACAGTAGGTCGGGCCATACACTATGTGGTCCCATATGGGCGGATTATTCGCACGGTCCACAACGTCAATCTGAACCTCCACCGTTCGCGACAAGGGCGGGAAACCCTTGTCTTGAGCCATCGCTTCCAGCTTGTACATCTCACGCTACACCAGACCGCGTGTATAACAAACGGGAACAAAAAACAATGGCGTTAGTGTCAGTCATAACGACTCGTGGCAGTTGGTATTTTGTTTCAGAGAGGAGCGCTGATCTTGTAAAAATGCCGCTCTCTCTGTCTCTCTCTCTTGCCCGCTCGGACTCTCTCTATGTCTCTTCTCTGGATGATCTCTGCGTATGCATTTCCGTTTCAATTTCTGCCAGCCATTGCTTTGCACCCTGGTGTAGCCAGTTAAATGATTGTGTCACGTTAGCGTGTTATCTTTGGTCCGCCTGGACATTCACCGGACCCTCTCTGCTCTAGCCGCTGCTCGCACTGTTAGCCGTCTAGTAGTGTGATTCACGCTCTAAGCAAAGCACGACTAGCGACAGCTGAAAGCTAGGGACACTAAGCCCCTGAGACAAGGATCTCGCCGATCGCTGATGGCGCTTTCGCGGCCGCTTCTCTGTACCTGCGTATTGCTCGTGAAAGAAAAAAAGAAAACCCCGATCGACTTAGTGGGAGACCTGGATCTGTCGCTACATCCTCGCCTACCCTATATACGGATCATCGCGCTAAGGACAATCCGGCATCCGGCTTTCCGAACTCGTACACATCTAGGGATGTTTTCCGCTAAAGTCGTCGGAGCCGATTCACCCGATACTTCGAGAATCCTTTCGCATCGAACACGCTCCAGTCCCGTGATTTGATCGGTTTCTTCGTCATTGTTCATCGGCGCTAGCCTCCCGGACATTTCGAGTTTGGACATCCTCGCCCCGATGCAATTCGATTCCCGAAGGTTCTCTAGAAAATCGACTCCAACGAATAGTAATAATTAACATAAGTAAGGGACAGACAGTAGTGGTAATAGTATAGTAATGGTAGTAGTAGTTGTAGTAACAGTAATAGTAGTAGTAGTAGTAGTAGTAGTAGTAGTAGTAGTAGTAGTAGTAGTAGTAGTAGTAATAGTAGTACTAGTAATAGTAGTAGTAGTAATAGTATTAGTAGTAGTAGTGGTAGTAGTAATAGTAGTACTAGTAGTAGAAGTAGTAGTAGTAGCAGTAGTAGTAGTTAGTAGTAGTTAATAGTAGTTGTTAGTAGTAGTAATAGTAGTACTAGTAATAGTAGTAGTAGTAATAGTAGTAGTAGTAGGTAGTAGTAGGTAGGAGTGTCCGACCAATCAGCGATCTACCGCGCCGCGCTTAACCATGCATGCTTTAGCTCCCGCGGAATACATCATGTATGCATGGAAAGAAACATAGTAATGTTGGAAATGTAATAGAACCAACAGAGATTGATAACGTATGAAAACATGATTGAAACGAAAGGGTTATTAATGACCCAATGACACAAAGACCGATTGTAAACGATTGAACTTGGTGCTACGGAACGCGTAGACTGGATGGAAATACATGGTGGAGGAGGAGTACAAAGGAAAAGATGGAGGAAGGAGGAGATAAGAAACGAAACTGATATCGACAGAGAGACAGAGACAGAACAGATTAAAGGGAGTAGCACTGCATGGCACGGCACGGCATGTCACGTGTCTTGTCTCGGTCATGTCGTGGCATACAAACCTGGCTTTCACCGACGTCACTACAGTACCCACTGTGACATTTTCTTTGATGTGAATGGGGCCGTATACATTCTGATCCCACACAGGTGGTTTATTGTTTCTGTCTACGACGTCTAACTCAACTTCCACGTCTGCGTGCAAGACTTGCATCCCTCTGTCGGAGGCCCGTACTCGCAGGCGATAGCTGTCACGCTAGTGGCAAAACATTGGGCCGTCAACTCACAGGACACTTTTTTGGGACTGTTGTTGGCGGATGAATTTTTTTTATTTTGTTTTTTTTTGGTTCATTTGTTTCTTTTGATCTTTTCTTTCATTTGTTTCTTTGGAATTGTTCTTTTTTTATTTGACGTTTTACCGAAGAGATAAGTCACTCAGTGACGAGCGCGGTTACCAACGGCCGTCGTAGAACGACTCGAAGAGGGTTCTTTTACAGCTTTTTTCTCTTTGACCGCGAAACGAAACGAAAGAGATAGAAGAGAGTGAAGGACCATACAGTCTCGTGGGTATCCGCTTTATTGTTCCAGACCTCTTTTATTTTCAGCGTTTCTCTACGGCTAATCTCCGACGCGTCTGCCAATCTCTGACCGACCTGAAACTTTTTGGCATCATCGGATCAGTTCTGCGTCACTGGATGGCCGATCGATTCAATGCTCGATGATTTAATTTTCAACGATGTGCGATGATCTGGTCCTATGATCGATACTTACCACATTACTTTTTTTCATATCTACGCGTATGAAAAGTGAGAATATACATACCGATGGATTGAATGTTTCAAATAAAATAACTTTTCGAAACAATTTCGTTGCACGCTTTACAGCGTGAAACGTAAAGACGGATCAATCTTGTGTGCCGATAACGTTTCACTTTTGCCGATACAAGTATACTTGAGGCTGAAATTAATGCACTGAAATTTAATCAGCAGAACTGTAAGTGTAGTACAATTCAATTTCTCATCCGATTTAACCTCTTGCCCTATGATTTGTTTCATATCTACGCTGGATACAATTATTTTGTCCTTAATTTAGTGAAAGAAAGAAGAATTTTAATGGTTCATCTATATCCACGGTTACATTAAAGTATAACAGTTGATAACAGAAAAATAATATTTCGCTTGAAACAATTAAGTAACATTTATTTTCGTTAACTTCCGTTTGAGATTCTTGTCGGAAGACCATCACGATATTGTACGGCGAGGGGGGTGCAACCAGAAAAAACGGACAGGAAAATACCGCATACGAACAATGCGTACAAAAAAATGCGCACATGTACGAAAATATGCAGGAATAAAAGCGCACATAGAAAAAGGAGCACACAACTTGAAATTTGCACATAATGTAAAATATTTATTGAATTATTGCAGAAAAATACTTACATATTGGAAACAAATTACTTATTGTTTTGCAATTCTTTTTAAATACAAAGGTTTTCTGGTAATTTACTATAAGTATTATCGGTTGCTGCTACTGTGTATCCAGAAGAGATTTATTTATATCATAAAGATTAGTATAGGTGGGGCTAGTTTGTTCACGAGAAGGTAGTACGCTTTTGCTTTACAATCGTACAATTCATATATGTCTGGATTATGAGTTGTGCGTATTTTACATTCTGCGATTCTTTCCATATGCGCTTTTTTCCTGTGCGTTTTCGTACATATGCAGATTTTTTGTACGCATTTGGCATGTGCGCTTTTTTCTCGACCAGAGTATTCATATAACCGGCAAGGGGTTAAAGAAAGAGTAGAAAATGCTATCAATGTATTGAAAACATTTCGGAAATCGTTATCGGCAAGTACCCGACGTTAAAGAGGTCCTTCACCTGCGGATACGCCCAAGACCAGGACGAGAGAACGAACAAAAAGCGCGGTGACACGAGTGAACTTTATCAAAGAAAGAGAGAAACGAATTGAAAACTAAACGACAAACAAAAGAACAAACCCGTTATACAGAACGCGCATGGTAATTAAGATAGAACGTAAAAATGAAAAGAAAGTAAATTGATCGAAGATAGAGACAGAGAAAGAGAGACGGAGAGATAGAAAGAGAGACGGAAAGAGAGAGAAAGAGAGAGCGATACATAAAAGAAAAACAAGAGTGACGTCTCCGAGTGACAGTAATCATAATATAAGAACAACAACAACAGAGGCGAGAACAAACGAATCGAAACGATAAAACATAAGAGATGTTACACACACATAATAATTAACCGAACGGAAATTGCGCTCTAGTCATACTGCAACAAATATCATACATGTACATATGATC